ACGTTAGGCAGTGACTGTCAACCACGTGAGGCAGTGACTCAACCATGTGAGGCAGTGACTGTCAACCACGTTAGGCAGTGACTGTCAACCACGTGAGGCAGTGACTCAACCATGTGAGGCAGTGACTGTCAACCACGTTAGGCAGTGACTGTCAACCACGTGAGGCAGTGACTGTCAACCATGTGAGGCAGTGACTGTCAACCATGTGAGGCAGTGACTGTCAACCACGTGAGGCAGTGACTGTCAACCATGTGAGGCAGTAAGTACAGGTATATCTATTTAAGTGATATAAACTACTTGAGGTACTGTTCAAGGGAGAGTCGCCACTGTACTAGTCTGGATATTTGTTCTTCATATAATAATAATAAGGATGATGGTGATGATGATAATAATAGTAATGGTAATAATGATGATGGTAATAATAATAATAATAGTAATAATAATGATAAAAATAATAATGATGGTAAAAATAATAATGATGGTAATATTAATGATGAAGGCAATAATGATAATAATGAAAATGATGATGGTAATAATAATGGTACTAATGATGATAATGATGATGGTAATAATAATAATAATGATGGTAATAATAATAAAAATAATAATGATGGTAATAATAATAATAATGATGATGATGATGGTAATAATAATAATAAAGGTAATAATAATAATAATAATAATAATAATAATAATAATAATAATAATGATGACTGTAATAGTAATAATAATAATGATGGTAATAATAATAATAATAATGATGATGATGATGGTAATAATAATAATAAAGGTAATAATAATAATAATAATAATAATAATAATGACTGTAATAGTAATAATAATAATAATGATGATGATGATGGTAATAATAATGATGATGACGGTAATAATAATAGTAATAATGATGATGGTAATAATAATAATAATAATAATGATGATGACTGTAATAGTAATAATAATAATAATAATAATAATGATGATGATGGTAATAATAATGATGATGACGGTAATAATAATAATACTACTAATAATAATGATGGTAATAATAATAATAATAATGATGATGACTGTAATAGTAATAATAATAATAATAATAATAATGATGATGATGATGATGGTAATAATGATGATGACGGTAATAATAATAATAATAAATGATGATGGTAATGGTGATAGTATGCAGTAAGAGTACAGAGGGTGAAGGGTACAGTACGCGTGTTGGTGGTGTCCCCCTTATCACCGAGGAACAACTTATTATGAGGTGTACCAGAACTAGTGTAGGTGGTGGTGTATCATCTGAGAGAGAGAGAGAGAGAGAGAGAGAGAGAGAGAGAGAGAGAGAGAGAGAGAGAGAGAGAGAGAGAGAGAGAGAGAGAGCCTACGTCACACAGTACATAAGGGTCTGTTCACATGACTGACTTACCGACAACAAAGCTCCACTGTATAATATAACTGGTGGCTACTGGTACTGTATATATCATTTAATATAACCGGTAAGTACATCAGCTGGTGCGGGGGGTACTATCTGGTGACGATCTGGGAAGTGGCGGCAGTAGTGTGTGTGTGTGTGTTGACTACAGAACCAGAGGGTAAACTGGTTGGAACCTGACTGACTTACCAGGACTTGTACTCACTATCTGCCCCCCTGCGTTTATGGGACAGATAATGAGAATAAATGTGTGTGTGTGTGTGTGTGTGTGTGTGTGTGTGTGTGTGTGTGTGTGTGTGTGTGTGTGTGCTATAGGAAGAGTTAAGAGTGTAAGGCACTGGGTTATGTATACATCTTTAACTAACTACCTGCACTGTGTATGGTCATAATTGAGACACAAACTAACGTGAGTATTATCAACCCTTTTCATGGTGGCTACAGGACCCAGACATGTATAGATAAGACAAATATATAATTCAATATCTTCAGTTTTTCTTAATTGATACAAAGGAAAATTTATAAAAGTTTTTGTAGTTGTATTTGTGGGAAAAATGTCTTGATTGTTC